TTCAGTATTTTAAATCTAGTGGTTCCTTCTATGTGTGCGCCTTTTTTGAGGAACTCGTTTGCCGTCAATACGTTGCTAACTTGAAAGAGTGTGGGACAGTTTTTGCGCTGGACTTTCTTTCGGAGCCTTGTACATCTGCACCGTGTGTCTACCATAGTACCTGCTTTAAGCAGGATTATTTTTACATTGGCTCTACCGGTACTTTAGCAGGCAAATTGAAAGCCACTTTGTTTTTAGAACATCGAGTTCTCCTAAACAATTCTGTGCAACGGCATCAATAGAGATACCGGCAGTTTTTAAATACTCTCTTACCGTCATCTGCAGTAGAACAATTAGGGTTTCAAGCAATGTGCGTTTTGCCACCAAGCGATCAGAAATTCCAGTTTTATTTTGAGTCCGTCCAGCATCCCTTTGAATGCATTTGGACTTAGAGAGTGCAGCGTAGTGTTACAACCGGCTTACCCGAACTACTTCGCAGTCCAGGTCTCTTAGCGAATTTTGGCAACTTTGGGAATTTAGAAGCTACTGCTGTTTGTTTGGAGTCTGTATAGAAGCACGTGCATTTATCCGGCATTATAAGTGACTGTTATGGTAACGACGACGTCTGGAAAATTTGTTATAGAACCACTCAGCGATGCATAACTTCAACCGCACAAAGTACAGGATACAAGTGCACAGACTGACCGTTTTAAGTTTGCACTGTCAGGACCTTCCAAATTGGTCTTTCTGTTTCGCCCTGTCTTTATGGATTCGGCCTGGGGTGTCCGTGACGAATAATTATCGATCCGTTACATGGGACCTGGTTTATTGGCACAACCTGGATGTGCACACGGACACAGTCGCTGAGCGTAAACGAAGATGAAATCCACGGTTGCAATTTACATGGACCTGGTGATTGCAGTAATGAGCTGTAGCTACAGCACAGAACGTCGGATTGTTGTAGTATGTTGCCTGGCTAGGAGGCACGCCCAACAAGCTCTTGAACTATGTTATAAATGTTAAATGTGTACACAGAACTGAGGTGGTTTTGTGTGCGCCATCGGCCAAGCTATTGTCAGAAATGCTGTATTGAGGTGAAGCGTGATGTAAAAGAGAGATGAATCTGTGGTCTTGTATTCGTTGAATAGAGCTCTTGAAACCGATTCGAATAAGTATAGGCGCAGCAGTATGCACTGAAATGGCGACAGTAGGGCGAACGATACGTCAGACGGTTAATACTTTGCTGCCTATCCACGCGTCCTGCCCATGGGAAGGTAGGGCTTGTAAAACCTATCTAAATTGCACATGAATTAGACTGCGGTATAAAAAGGCCACCGTTTCATTTACCGTGATGGTGACATACCACCTGGCTTTTTAAGTGCTTCCTGTTATCCGCAATTCCGATAGTAATTGCGTGCCGCAATACATTCGCACGATTAGTGCCTCAGTGACAGCACTAAGCTAGTAGGCGGTTTTCGAAAGTCAGTTCCACTCACTACGTTTGACTACGGTCCACTGGTTGTCCAACACAAGCATAAGAAATCTTATGCATGTGTCGGTGATATTTTTGGGTTCAAGTCAAGGTAAGCTTTATATATCCAGATAGGCGCATTTTCAGTAATTTACAGTATTAACTCCGGAGTAACATGCAAAATTTTATTATTCGATACGGAAAAGTGAAATAGACGCATTGATCTCAATCGATTAAAACGGCCCGCGTTCTAGAGAACTGATTACATCTTGTTAAACAGAATCCTCGTGTTTATTTTCCAGCCAACATAGTATGGTTTTGTGAGGACATTTTTTCTTAATTGGTTTCAACTGGCGCCTATCACAGTACGCTGTCATGCAAGTTGGATAAAAGCTCACTGGATGCAATTGAAGCGCACTGGTCTCATATTCATCAGACCTTACTAGCAGCAGGAAAATCCTCATGTGGTATGTCTAATCACCAACATGGACATTGGGTCTCTTCACAGTCTCTGGAACCTATAGATGCTCGCCGGCATATTCCGGCTGGAAGCGAACACAATGAAACTCGCAAAGAGCTCCGGGCAAAACTCCGTGCTAGCCTAGAGAGAGACCGCGAATCCTGATTGTCTCATCGTGCATCAGAGATACTGGAAACGGGCAGCAGGAGACGTGGTGTTAGTGAAACTATGCGTGACGAGAGTGGACAGCCTATCCACAACTTATCAAAACGCTTAGAGCGTTGGGCTGAACACTTTAAACAGCAATTTAATCGGTCGGAATGGTTAGATTTCTCGCCGGCCACTGATCGCCCCACTCCCTGTACGGTCCCATTGGATCCACCCTCTCGCTCATAAGTCGAACGTGAAATTGAACTGTTGAATTTAAATAAAGCCGCGGGACCAGATGATCTTCCTCCAGCCCTCTTCCAATTTGGGGGACCTGCTCTTGTGGATGATTTACACGAGTTCCTAGTCAAACTGTGGGAGCAGGAAACTATCCCAACCGATTGGAGCCGCTCCGTCATAGTCCCAATTCGCAAAGGAGGCTCACGATCGGAATGCGGCGGCCATAGAGGAATCAGTCTGATATCCATCGCCTCAAAATTGCTTGCTTCTGTCATCCTTCGCAGACTGACTAGCACTCGTAAAAGCCAGATTCGTGAAGAGCAGCTGGATTTCGTCGAGGACGTGGCTGCATTGACCACATCTTCACCTTGCGTCAGTTGTTGGAGCACCGTCACATATATTGGCGGCCCACCGTTGTCGTGTTCCTCGATATCAAGGTGCATTCGATTCGATGGATAGACATGCACTTTGGGACCGTCTACTGAAGAAAGGTGTCCCTGAGAAATATATGAATATTATCCGAGCATTATATGCGCGTAGGTCGGGCAGAGTGAGGGCTTACGGCAAGCTGTCGTCGCCCTTTAATATCTCCAGCGGCGTGAGACAGGGATGCCCGCTGTCACCTTTCTTCTTCAACTTCGCTGTTGACGAAGTCATGGAAATCGCGTTCACAGGACACGACTTTGAAGGTGTGGATCTGCTCCCAGGAGAACGACTTCTTGACTTAGAGTATGCTGATGATATTTCCCTAGTCTGTGACAGCTCACAAACGTGTCAAGCGGCACTGGACATATTAGCACTAGCTGTCCGTCACTTCGGGCTTTGCTTTGCACTCTCGAAGTGCAAAGCGTTCCTCCAAGATTGGTCTGGACCGCCTCCTACGCTGACCCTTGGTGGGGATCAGCTAGAAGTCGTTCGGAAATTCAACTACCTGGGAAGTTGTATCAGCGTTCGTGGGATTGAGCATGAGTTCATGAACCGTATAGCAAAAGCTCGGGGCGCTTTTGCTAACCTTCGCCACTTATAGCGTCGGCGCGACATCACTCTTGCCCTGAAGGGTAGAGTGTACAATGCAGCAGTATGTTCGACCCTACTGTACGGTTGTGAAACCTTGCCGCTTAAAGCAGCGGACTTTAAGAGGCTAGTTACGTTCGACCACCGGTGCCTTCGTAATTTAGCTCACATCTGGTGGGAACACCGCGTGAGTAACGAGCGTGTTCGGCGCCTTGTTTACGGCATAGGAAAAGGAAATGAACCGTTCAGCACCGTTATTTCAAGCACCAGGCTCCGATGGCTCGGCCACGTGTTACCCATGCCAGCCCACCGACTCCCGCGATGTGCGTTGTTTGCGCGCCGGGGGTGTGGATGGAAGAAGAGGAGGGGTGGCCAAGCGATGAGTTGGTCCAGAGGAATGAAGGCCCTCACTTCTGAGTTGGCATCGGTTGGAGCGTCTCGGCTCCCTGGTTGGGGTCCGCAAGACGATGAACACGTTTGGTTGGACACACTTGCTGATATGGCTAGGAGCCGACCTCAGTGGCGTTTGTGCTGTGAGTTTTTTTGTCCCACCCCATCCCTCATAGCCTCCCCTCCAACCACGATCTCATTATTTAACCTTATATAATTTTGCATAGTAATTTTTTTGATGCACAGTAGCTGGCTGGTAGCTTACCGGAACGATGCCCATCCGTTACCGGTAGCTCAGCTGGCTTGCACCAGTTGCATTCTTTTTTCTCTCCTTTTTTCTGTGTATTGCGGCACATTAGCTGAGGTGTTCCCCACCTCTAGCTAACATGTATGATGATGATGATGATTCAACTGGCTTGGAAATTCGTGCCAAAGGCAACAGACTGGGAACGTTACTCGGTGGTTGGGTTTATTACTATCTCAGTCTTGTTGACCCCGGAAGTAATTTGGACAAAGTTGGCTGTCAAATTATTCCTATACAATCTCCGCAGTGGATATGTTAAAAGTGATGTTCAAAGAAAAGCAACGGCCGATTAACGGCTGCATAAACGTTTAATGGGACGAGTGTTGGCTATCTCGATAGTTTTACTTTTTAAACGGGAACTACGCACGGTTATTTTGATGCAGCGAACTGTGCGTGTTCGATGCACACGAGACAGTGACCTCCCAATGCGGACCTGTTTGTCTTCAATCATTCTTGTACCTGCGGTCTCGAAGCTGCTCGGACAGTGATGACAGCTAGGAGCGATAATTCGCACTATATTTGCTAATTTGTTGGCGAAAGGAGGTTAGATATGTAGGATATATTCTGAGTAACTAATCGGGATGGGTCGCTCGATCCAAAAGGTGAAGCAAGGAAGCCCACCCGGTGCTGACCGTAGTACCTCTATGTAGAACTTACAACGTTTAGTTATCAGTCTGCGCCGACTGTGTCTTCTACAGGCTGTTTTCCTCGTTTCATCCATTCTGTTTAAATGATCTGGACGTGCCATAATTTTTAACACCTCAGCGTTATTGCCAAGGATGCATCGCATTCTGTCTTCTAGGTGTCTGTCTCTTGTTACAGGATTATCGCGTAGTGTCCTCCATTGTCTAGTATAGCAAATCCTGACTTTTTTCTACAACGAATACCTTGGCTTGCCATAGCCGATATGCGCCAGTTGTAATATGTCACTTTTTTGTCGGCCTTCTCTTACTGTAAACTTTCTATCGTTAAGCATTTTTTGGTTCCCTATCCAGATCAGCGCCCCCATTCGTGTGAACTCTGCGACAGATCGTTTGCTAATAAAACCAATTTGCGAAAGCATGTCGACTCGGTTCATTTTGGTGAGTGTGTAGTTGATATCGTCATTTGATTTCCATTTGTCTTCTTACCGTGGTCGGATATATTGTGTATTTTTGGTGTAAGAAGCAGTGCACGACGTTTCTCAGGTTATGGTACTCATTAACTAAGAGCAGAGTGGTCCAGTTTCCATGTAGACTACAGTGTTGTAAAACGGATGAACCTGTTGGATTGTGTGGCCGGAATGATTGAGATTCACTTCATCGATATACAAGGTGCTTGTTGTGACAGTATGCCGCATTCTATCCATCCAGCAGTCATTCCAGTTGAACTACAGCTGACTCCCCGGCTACTTTTGGTGGACAGTTTCCTCGATGGTTGCCGCTTTCAGAACGTCAGATTCCTTTTTATGCTGGTGAGTGCGAGACCGTTCCATCTGGTTGGTGCAGTTTCCTACGCCCATAGTTCTACTAATAACTCCGGTTAACCATCAACAAGAGCTAGTCCCCCGCGTTCCAAGAAGCCTGTAGGATGATCATCTGATCCTGTGTCATTTTTCAGTTTCAATATTCCTATCTCATGTTCGACTTCTTAGCGATTGGGCGGATCCAAAGAGACGGCCCAGACTGCAAGACGGGAAATCTGCCAGTTTCTAGCGATTAGATTACCTCAGAACGTGTCCAATCCAACGCTCCAAATGTTTTAAAAAGTTGTGGATAGGCTGTCCACTCTCGTCACCTATAATTTCATTAACATCAAGTCTTTTTCCAGCCGGAATAATTTTCTGTGGTTACCAAGCCAGGGGCTGCTTCCATTTACGATGCAAGAAGAGACCACCAGGATTCGCAGTCTCTCTTCAACCTAGCACGGATTTTTGCCGTGGTGTATTTGAGAGTCTCGTTGTGTTCGCTTTCAGCCGGGATGTGCTGGCAAGCATCGATAACTTCCAGAAACCGTGATGAGACCCAATGTCCAAGTTGACAATGCGATTTACCACATGAGGATTTGACTGCTGCTACTAAGGTCTGGTGAACTTGCGACCATCGATCTTCAACTGTGTTCAGTGAGCGCTTACTCAACTCGAACGTCAGCATACTTCGTTACGCACACAGAACAGCTGGCTTCGCCAGTTGCAACGAACATGAGCGATACTTACTTGAACGATTGGAGGTCCATTCATGGAACTTATGTTTTCCACAAGCCTTCTACAACCTTGTACATTTATGTGTGAGAAGAACAAACTGGTAAGACAATGCAAGTTTTGGTAAATTACGTTCAGTTCATAATCACTGATCGAGCACAATTGCTGTCCTTTAGATCGCAGCTACTACGGGCGCACAATCCCATGCTGCAGACATCCCATGGTAGTGAGTCGTAGCAGTCTTAACATTTGAGCGAACCGTATTTGAACACTTGTACAGCGGAATTGCGATGGCCTCAATGGATTGAAGTGAACGCACTTTGATCGATTGTGCGGTATTTAAAAATCACTTTGAATGATTTACCTAACTTGTTTGCCTAACTAGATTGGGTGAGCTCCATGGCTCTGGGTGTGCGGGTTGGTTTTCGACAATCGGAGATCATCGATGTACACTTGGCGCTGCCAGTTATGAGGTATACCCGAATCCCTGTTCAGCACTCTTACTGGGTCATCTATGGAACAGATGACATGGTGATATTAATTTTCGGAGTGCAGGCCTGTTTGATGATCGTGAACATAGTATGGAGTTGACCGATTTTGCAGTGAATCATGTTGGAGGCAGATGTGGCACACGGGGTTGGTTTCAGGACCAGAGAGCTGGATTGGAATCGGGCCCACTCACGGAGTTCGGATGAAAGGCTCTGATGGACGGGCGCCACAATTCTTCCTACACCACATAGAACCAGGTGCATGGGAACGAACTCCTTTCAATGCACGCGGTCGCGCTGAGAGCACATTCAGTCGTCGGCAATGACAAATCGGCAAACCGATTGTGCTTGTCCATCTGGAGGTGAAGAATGTTCAACATGTAAGGATACCTTTGTTGTAGACAGTCTCAATGTGTGGTGGAATCCGAGAGATAAACCCTGTATCTGTTTAGGTGTTAGCGGAAGAGTTTCTGCTATTTGTCTCATCATGCGTCTTATTTCATCCGCGCTGCCTCGACTGCTGTATTTCCTGTTGCTTGCGAGTATGGTGCTGGTGAGGCGCCTTTCATTTTTATTGTCATACATTGCTTATTATGTGTCAGAATGTAGAACATCTGGCCAGCCATGTTTAAGTATTGGCCCCACATGCTATTAGCCATCTTTTTTCAGTCTCGAGATGGCCCTGCATTTTCAGGGATATTTTACACAGCGGATCCTCTGCTCCATTAATTATGCTCATGGTTATATATATATATATAATGTTTTATATATTTATTCACAGTCTGTTAACAGACATTGTGCCATCAGAACCATGGCAGAAGAAAAGAAAGTGAGGTAGATGGGAACACTAATGTGATTAAAAAGTATGGGAAACGATTTTTTTGGTTTTACACACGCCATTTTTTTTTTTTTGTATTGTGTTTTTTGTGTGCATGAAAGGGATGGTGAAATTGCAAAACAACGATGACGCCACTGATGTCTGTTGCGTGCCATGACCTCTAGTGTTTCCAGCCACTGCAATTCAGCATCTTGTGGTCACCAACCTGGAAGTCGGACTGGTCCGACTGCCGCCAAACTTGAGGTTGCCTTCTTCATACTCCTTCTCCACGTCATCGGCTGTCCACCGCGGCACTTTTTCCAATCGCTCCCTTGGAGTGCAAATAGCGCTCGACGTGGAAGGCGATGGGCGGGCATGCGCAGAACATGCCCGAGCCAACGCAGGCAATGTCGGAGAATAACGTCCTGAAGACTGGCACTATTCGCCCCAAGCACGCGGTCTCTCACCTCTGCGTTGCTTACATGGTCTTGCCACCACACCCTAGCAATCCTTCGTAGACAGGGGTTATCAAAGACTGATAGCCGCTTCATATCTTCCGAGCGAATAGGCCAAGTCTCACAGCCGTACAAGAGTACTGCACGGACGGAAGCATTGTACACCCTGCCCTTGAGCTTGAGACTGACATCACGACGGCACCATAGCTGTCTCACTTTGATGAATGCATGGGCGGGCCTTTGCAATCCGTTGTGCGACATCATCTCCAACACCGCCACCAGCCGTGATGCAACTCCCTAGATAAGTAAAGCAAGGGACTTGCTCCAGAACATGCCCATCAATGGTGAGCGCGGGTGCAGCCACCTGCCAGTCCTGGAGCAGCGTTTTACATTTTCCCGGAGTGAAGCATAGGTCGTACTTAGACGCCTCCATCGCCAAGCGGTGCAAAGCGCTCTGGACGGTTTGTGGGTCGTCCCCCAGCAAGGCGATATCATAGGCATAGTCCAAGTCAGTGAGTCTGTTTCCAGGGAGAAGCTCAACACCGCAGTCCTGGACACCTTCCACTGCTCTTTGGAGAACATCTTCGATGGCGAAATTGAAGAGGAAAGGTGAAATAGGGCAACCTTGGCGAACAACCTCCTCGTGGTGCCAGCTCATGGTTATGCTGCACTATAAAGTTTATGATCCTGTTCTGACAGCTTATACATTGTTGTGCCCGTGGTATCCTCTTTTGTTTTCTCTTTGACTGTACACATTGTGCTTCCTAATTCAGCATTGCGCCCCTATGCATGCGAACAATGTGACAAATCATTTTCTCAGAAGATTCATATGCAATCGCATCTCAAAGCCATTCATCTGAGTGAGTTTTTAAATGATATCGTTACTTATGTTTGATTTTCGTGCTTGTGTTGTATCGTTTATGTGATGTCACATAGCTTCCGTTTGTTCAGCCACATTGCTTGCACCAGCTCTCCGTTTCTTTGCTCTCACGACTCAGAGTCATGCAGTGTTCAGTTTTCCAAAACTGCCACTGTGTGTGCTGATCTGTTTGCTGGACGGTCGTTACTTTGAAGCGCAGTGCTGGTGACCGGACTGGTTTTGGTTCACTTCTAATTGGCTTACAATCCAAATTGTTATTGCCTCTGTCACCCCATTCACACAACTGCCACTGCAAGAGAGCCAACAACGAATTCCCCTGCGCGTTGTACTGCGTCTCTTCCGTCGGTTCATCTGCTCGGTGACACGACCATTACAAACGGTGTGTGAGATCTAAACTAGATTCGTTTTCCTACTTCATGGCATTACATATTGTATTCCTCTTGTTAAGGTACTTATCTAGCACATCCACACGTTGTGATTCACTTTGGAATACGCATCCAATGTATGACAGCGAACATCCACGCATTTTGTTTTCTCCAACTGGGGCTGTGTTGCCGTGTTTGTGCCTCATTTTCCGTTGCACGGAGTGGGGTTGGGAAGAGAAGTTGTAAGCGTCATCCTTTAGTTGTGTGGAATTTCACACATTTAATTTACCACTCATGTATTTGACATCGACTTTGAATACGAGCTTGATTGAGGCACATTGTTGTGCACACTGTGGCAACATCTGGTTGGGGTTTCCTTCCGCCTGTGACGGTTGCTTTCGTGTGCGACGTTTTTGTTCCCCCTAGCTGGTCTACTCTTTTTGTGCTCGCTGCCGTTGCATTTACTCGTTGATCATGCTCCGTCGTCTGCGCGGTTTCCGGTTTCCTGCTTTCCTGTCTCTTGCATCATTCGGCGGTGTGACAGGGGTGCTCTTTGATGGTGCGGTCATGTTCACTGGGCGGCAATGAGTATGACCACACCATTCTCGTTACTGCAGCAGCAGTATTATTTGTTTCGTGTTGGGCGTTCTTTTCTAATGGTACCGCTTCATTGTTCGTCACTGTCTTACTGCTCTGTTAATGCGAACTTCTGCACGTCCATTGTTGTTAAAACCGTTCATGTGCTATTGCTGTGAAGAAGGAGTGACAACATCTTTCTATTCGAACCTTATGCTTCGCCTATATGGTCTTTTAATGATCCTACAACATATGCTCTTCAAGTACCTGTGTGATCACGCTCGCTATCGAGACACCTGTGCGCAGCTCGCATTTTGTCCAC